CACACACACACACACACACACACACACACACACACACACACCTGTCTTGGGCTGGGCATGTACCAAAAGTCTCAAGCCCTATTTCCTGCTTTTCTTGATTTGCCTATTCTTATATGAACAATATAGTTCTCCTTTTGACTGTCTAGCTGGCTAGTTCCACTTCACATAGTAACCTTAGGTCATTCATTTTTTTAATTAAAAAAATTTAATGGTGTTTTGCATATATATATATGTGTACATATGTTTGTGTGAGGGTGTTGGATCCTGGAGTTACAGACAGTTGTGAGCTGCCACGTGATTGTTGGGAATTGAAGCTGGGTCCTCTGGAAGAGCAGCTAATGCTCTTAACTGCTGAGCCAAATCTCTAGCACCTATTTTATTTTATTATTATTATTATTGTATTTCAAGACAGGGTTTCTCTGTAGGTTTGGAGACTGTCCTAAACTCTCTCTGAAGACCAGGCTGGCCTCAAACTCACAGAGATCTACCTGCCTCTGCCTCTGCTTCCTGAGTGCAGTATTTATTTATTTTTTAAGGAAGATCTCTGGGGGGGAGGGGGAAAAAAAGAAAGATCTCTCTATGTAGTCCTAGCTGCCCTGGAACTTAGAAATCTTCCCTCTATGTCCCAAGTGCTGGGATTAAAAGTGTGGGCTATTAGACCTGGTTTCTTTCTTTCTTTAATACAGGGTTTTACCAGCTGGGAAGTGGTGGTGTAGACCTTTAATCTCAGCACTCAGGAGGCAGAAGCAGGGAGATCTCTGTTAGTTCAGGGCCAGCCTGGTCTATGGAGAGAGTTCTAGGACAGCCAAGGCTACACAGAGGAACTGTTGTCTCCAAAAAACAAAGAAAAAGAAAAAAAGGGTCTCACTATTTATCTGGTTGGCCTGGACTCACTATGTAGCTCAGGCTGCCTTCCAATTCACAGAGACCTGCCTGTCACCATCTTGTGAGTGCTGGGATGAAAGGTGTGCTCTGCTGTATTTTCCTTTTACAAATGAAGAACCTGTGTTTACACAGGGACCTTACTGGGGTCATTGGTTAGGGAAAATCAAAGCTCCGAGGGGACCTCAGCCTGCCTCAATCATCCAGCTTCAGTTCTTGAAAGGTTTTAGAGGAGCCCTGATGGGGGTAGGGGTAACAAAGGTGAACTGGCTTATCAGGTGCCAGCCACTTCATGCGCCTCTCTTTTTCAGGCCCACAGTCCTCTAGGATATGGAGACTATCATCTGAACCTAAGACATAGGAGAGTGAGGTCAGGCTGCTAGGGAGTGATAGAAGTGGGAACTGAGCCCAGGCCTCTGGCCCTCCTTCCTCAGCAAAGATGGCAGCAGGAGCAGAGTCACTGGAGGTTGAGATACGGGGCTGTGGGGGGAAGGGATGAGAGGGCACCTAAGAATTTGGAATAGGGAACTCCCAGATTCTCACATCCCAAATCACTCAGTTGTTTTTCTTCCATGGACAAAGAAAATGACTCAGGAAGACTTGGTGGCAACCCTGGATATGCATCCTTGCAACTCAGGGCCTCAAAAGACGCCCACCTCTACACCATCCTCTCCGGAGCTCCCTGAGTTCAGCACTTTCCGGGCCTGCCAGTGAGGCAGAGGAATGAGGATGGCTTGTTCTCCCAGTCGCACTGCCCACAGATGCACAAGCTGGACATCTGTCCAGAGACTTGGTAGTATGGAGGGGTTAAGCCAAGGCTTTCTAAGGGGATGGACTGGCCAGAGGAAGGGGACTCCTGGTGTTGTGACCTTCCTCACAGAAGAGAAGGAAAAGAGAGTATCAGCCTAGAGGCTGGACAGAAAGCCAGAGCCCCTTTGTAGGTTCCCTGGATTGGTGACAGATCGCCAGAGAAGTGTCACCACTGCATCTGGACACCCAGCTGGGCATAAAAGGTCTACATTCTGTACCTCCTCTCCCACACTTCCCCAGCTGCACCTGACTTTCAGACTGTGTAGCCCTGTCTGTCCTGAACTCACAATGTAGACCAGGCTGGCCTCAAACTCACAGAGATCCACCTGCCTCTGTTTCTAGAATGCTGGGATTAAAGGTGTGCACCACCATGCCCAACTTTAGGATGTTTCTGCTGTTGTTGTTTGAGACAGGGTTTCTCTGTGTAGCCCTGGCTCTCCTGGAATTCACTCTGTAGACTAGGCTGCCTGACTCTGCCTCCCAAGTGCTGGAATTAAAGGCATGCACCACCAATGCCCGCCGGGTGTATGTTTTTCTTTTTTTAGTGACACAATTTCACTTTGTAGCTCAGCCTGGCCCAGATATCACATCATCCTGTTTCTGCCTGAGATTACGGGCTTGTACCATTGGAGGTGGGAGGCTGGGTGTTTTGTGAATCCTGTTGGCATAGCTCCTGTTAAAGTAACAACCCTAAGGCCTCAGGTAATCTTTCAATTTGGGATTGCATGGCTTTGGGGGTGGGGAGGGAGATGAATTTGGAAGTACCATACCACTGAACTTCAGTTGGGGATGCAGGAAGGGAATGGAGTTTTGTGACCAGGAACGTGGGAACAAATGGGTCTTTTTTTTTTTTTTTTTTTTTTTAAGGATTTTATTTATTAATATGTATACAGTCTATACAGTCTTCTGCCTGCACGCCAGCCCAGCAGAGGGCACCAGATCTCATTCAAGGTGGTTGTGAGCCACCATGTGGTTTCTGGGAATTGAACTCAGGACCTCTGGAAGAACAGTGCTCTTAACCTCTGAGCCATATCTCTCCAGCCCCCGGAAAAAAATGGGTCTTAAGGACCAAGAGTAAATGAAAGGTCCCAAACGGCCCAGCAAAAGGTTAACAGCAGATGACACTGTCGAACACAGTATCTAGCCATCACTGGGGGACCTGAGAGTGAACTGGAGGGAAGCAAAGGTCCTGGGACGAAAGACTGAAATACAATGAGAATGCCAAAGTCTGGGGGGGGGTGGGTTCAAAGTGCTTTTATAGTAGAGCAGCATGGGGCGGGGGCCACAGATAGCCTGCAAGCCTGCCCCTTATCGCTGGTCCTTTTCCAACCAGCAAGAGGACAAGGCGGAGCGCCTGGCTAAGGCAGGGGGCGGGGCCTAGCACCAAATTTGGAAACCATCCTCCAGATTCCCCAGGCCCAGGAGCGGTCATTTGCGGGACCCTGGGCAGGAGACGCCCGACCTTCCCGAGGCAGAGCACCGCCCCTCGACTCACGCTTCTGCCACGCCCTCAGAGCGCCGGCTTTTGGCTACTAACCGAGGCCCTTCTGGGGCGGAGCCAGCTCTCCTCGGGGCGTATCCTAGTGGCCGAGCGCTCACCCCCGAGCGTGGTCTATCGCAGGACGCCGGCTAGGGGCGGAGCCCAGCCACCGAGGGGGCGTTTCTTCTTAGTCGGACGCGGGTCCCAGACTCAAGGCCCTCCACCTTTCTTGAACTACTGCAGTGTGGGTACAAGGCAAGGCCGCTCGCGTGCTTCCC